TATTAAGATATCAACAAGAATTCAGCTTTTTTATTTAATGAAAACATTTTATTTTTATAAATGATGAAGTAGCAGATATCAATAAATAAGTTAATAAAAGAGATATCACTTCGTTAAGCTTGTAAATTTAGTTAGAAAGATGTAATTGAGTTTATATTAAAAAGTGAATGGTAGTTAAATTAGAAAATAATGAATACAAACTATCAAATCTTATTAAATCAATTAGAAATTCAAAAGTTATTTTAAAATTATTATATATATGTTTCTCTTTGTTTCCTCATATAGATTAGAAATCAAAACAAATCTTTATCTTCCTTCTACCTTTGGTTATAATCACTAATCAAGATCTCCTTTCACTTGAAGATTCTCATTATTAATAGGAGAATCAAGTTGCAATGGTTATCTTATTATATTTGAATTACGAAGAATGTTAATACAATGTATGTGAATTTTTCAAAGAGCATTTAAATTAAACTAAAAACTCTTTTGTTTTTTTAAATATTAATTAGACACAATAATTGTATAAGTGTTTCTTCCAGAAACAAATAATATTGGGAATTACAGCCAGGATATAGAATCCTTTGATCTACGACCAATTATTGGGAAATGTTTAACGATAGGACTGATTAAAGAGTCTTCAACATTAACTTGACTAGATTTTTATACAGCTAAAGTTTAAATGAACTGACTCATCTTTTTATTTTTTCAAAATTACGATTTTATCACAAGATGGCTTCAAAATGAGGTTAAATCTAAATCAAAGCTCTCATAATATTGTTAGATCATAATTATATATAGTTGGTAATTTTGGATAGTAACCACAAAAAACTTAATTAAATTTATTAACAAGAATTTAAAGTGCAATGCATTAAAATCCCTTAACTATTTTAAAGTAGATAAATGAATTTCTTATGAAAAATAGTTCCAAACATCCTTTCTAGCCATTTGCATTCCTTTTTTCTAACATTCAACAATCTTTTTAGAAAGATTTCATCCTCTACATACTCCATTATTTAGAAATAAATAGATTATACTGCAAGCTCTATGTAGACCTGAACGAAGTAAGAATATTAGCAAGTGTCAAGCATGCTAATGTAATTTAGTATTAGGAAGCATTTTAGGATAAAGCATTTTATTTTTCTTTTTCTGATAATGATTGTAGTTTTACTTTCTTTAAAGCATTTTCAAAACCATCTACTATTCTATTAAATCTTATAATTCTGTATCAAAGTAATTTTTTATCTGTATAGCATTCTTCGGT